CCCAGGGCCGAGGCGTCGACGGGCTTGTAGAACGGCCAGGCGTAGGCAGCGTGCTTCTTGGACACCAGGTCCTTGAGGATGCCGTTGCAATACTTGAGCTGCTCGGACAGCTTGCCCTTCTTGGAGGTCTGGTGCTGCTGCGAGTCGGGCAGGTCCTTCTTGGGGGGCTTGATGGGGCGCCCGCTCTCCCGCCGGGTGGGGATCTTGGCCGCTTTGGGCTCCAGAAGGGTGGCCGACGGGGACGACTCCCCGCTAGTGGCGATGATGGCTGTGGTGGTGGGGGTGGTGGTGTCCGCTTTTCGCTTCACACCCTTCTTCTGTGGGGCAGGGACAGAGAACCTGAGCAGTGCGCTGAGCAACCCCCCCAATTTCATGCCCATACAGAACCAACTGAAACCCCAAACCACGCAGCACCTGTCCCACATGGGACAACTGCAGAAACCCCACCGCCCTGCGGCCCAAATGCAAACAGCACCCCCACAGCCAAGTATTTTCTGACCCCCACATGGCCAACCGCAGCCCCTTCCTCCAGGTCTGCAAACGCCACCCCCTCCACAGCAGGACAGACTGCAGACGGCTCAACCCAGCCAAACCCCCCTGCCCCACAGGCCTGATCCACCAACCCCCCTGCCAGTCTCACCAGCTGCTCACTCGACCACCCCCAGCCCCACGCCAGACAGGTGGGTGCCTACCTTGGCCACGGGCTGCGTGGGAGCGGGCACAGCCAGCACTGGCTGGCAGGCGGCGGAGTGCAGTGATTTGAGAAGCGGTGCCGAGATCACCGAGGGGTGGGGGATACTGAGCACAGTGGTGGGGATCTCAGCGCTTGGGGTGTAGAGCGAGGCGTGCGAGACCGAGGAGACTGCAGGCACTTGGTGAGCTGCAGTGACTGCACCTGCCAGGAGAGCTGGGGGAATACGCAAGCACCAGTTAGCACCAGCACCTGGGAATATAGTCACCACCACACAAGGACTGGCCCAATGTCACAGCTGACCATGGAACCCAGGAGTCCTGGCTCCCAGCCCACCCATCTCTAACCACTACATCCCCCCATTTCCAGACCACCCTTCCAGGGGGACACTCATTCCTCCAGGTCTGGGATCTGCTTGCCCCCACCCCTCCGGAGCAAACTCCGACTAGTCTCCCCGTCACAGAGCGCACGTACCTGCCGCCCGGGAAGCCCCCTTCTTGTGGCTGTTCTTGGCCACGGTGATGACAATCTCCTGCTCCTCTGCAGGCATCTGAGCCACTTTCTGCAGGAAAATCTTCTCCAGGGTCTGGGCCATCAGCACAATGTCATCCGTGGGCTGTAGGCCAACGCAGAGGTGAGGGATTAGAGGGAGCAGGGAAGGGGCTGGGGCTCACGCCGGCTCCAGGGAAAGCCCAAGGAGGAGAGCACTGCAGGGAGGGCTGGTTCTCACCTTGTTGTAGATGTAACAGTTGGTGAACATGGTGTTGAAGTCCTGCATGCACTCCGCCGCCCCCCAGTAATAGTTGTTCTCCAGACGCCGCTTGATGGTCCCCATGTCCATGGGCTGCTTGATGATCTTGTGATAATCCTGCCGGCAGAAGAGCACAAGGGGCCAGGAGGTCAGTCACAAGGCGTGAGCCCCACAACAAGGATCCCAGTCACACCCGCGCCCCAGAGGCATATGATCAAGGGAGGGGGGTGGCATCTCAGTCCAGAAATACCCAAGAGGAGCACACAGACGCAGGAGCGGTGTAATGTCACTCATGCACACAGATCTCATTCCGGTTTCTACACTCAAGTCACCTGGCAAAGGACAGGGGTTGTATCCACTCAGGGACACTTCCTAGGGTGCCTGCAGTGTTCCAGTCAACACTGGATTCAGCCTCGCATACAACTCAGGGACGGGGACCCCTGCGCACCCCGGAGCAGAGAAGCCTAAGCTACTGGGACAGCTGGTGACCATGAATGGCTGCGGTCCCAGTGACCCAACAACCTGGACTACTCCAGTCCCAGGCAGGGTGCGACAGGGGCTGGGAGACTAAAGCTAAGGAAAGAGCAAACCTAAGTGGAATTTACCTCCGGGCTTTAAATCCTTGAGCGCCACAGGTGCACGGGGGGCTGGCGTTTAATATTGGGGTCACGTGATGTCTTCTACAAATTCATGGATGGGAATCTGCAAAACGCATTCAGGGCACAAGAGATTAGGTGGGGAAGTGTCCGGATTACCTGTAAAGGGGCTGCCTCACCTCATCCACACCTTTGTAGGGAGCAGTAGGGTGGGGCGGCTGGTCTGGGGAAGCTCCCAGGACAAGCCAAGCAGGCCGGATGTACAGGGACCTGGAGACCCTCAGCTCTGGGACAGCATGGAACCAGCTGAGAGACCACCACAGGTCGGGAAGGAGGAGTTGGGGATGGCACAGCCCGGGCACCTGCAGCTGCATCTTTGTGGCACAGACCCCAGGATGGGACAGTGCTGTCCCTGGGACTGTCAGGCTGGGGGGAGTGCGGGGGGGAATACTTTAGGTTAGGCCACATGGTGAAGCAATATTTGAATGAGGCATCCTCCTAACACCCCTGGAACGGCACACTCCCCAAGCCAGTAAGGATCAACTGGGGACAGACACACACACACACACCCCTCTGGGCCTCAGCCACTCCCATGCCCAGCCCAGAGGGCTCATTACCGGCAGGCCCAGCTTGACAGCATCGACGGGCTGGCGGAAAGGCCAGGCGAACTGATGTTTCCACAGGGCCTTCATCACCACCTTGTGGAGATACTGCAGCTGGTTGGTGACCCTGCCTGGCTTTTTGGGGTTGGACACCTCCGGTGGTGGAGGGTTCACCTGAGGCAGGTGCAGGGCTGGCACCGACGCCATGGTGGGGCTCTCGAAACCCTCGTAGAGCAGTGACGGCTTGCGGATCCGCTTGCCTGGAGTCGACTCCGTCGCCAGGCCCATGAGCCCAGTACTGCCCTCCCCCAAAATCCTGAAATGGGAGCAAAGACACCATTAAAAGGGTAACTCTAGGACTAAGACGCTCATGCCATCTGGCCCTGGGCCACCAGCACACAGCTACTCCTGGGTCCGGGAAGGGGCTCTTCTGAAAAGTCTCCCCAAAAACCATTCCTGAAGCAAAGCTGAGAGGCGCCTGTGCTATTTATCCCACTCCTAGGGCACGGTTACTGCTGGGAAGATTGCTCTGCTTATCTTTAAGCCCCGAAAACATCCATCCAAACCCAAGCGAAAGGCAGAGAAGAAAGTGTACTAAGGCAATCTGTTTCCCAGGGATGTGGGTGAATTCTCAGCCACACGCATGCCCAGGGAGAGGCCATGAACTCTAGCCAGTTGCCGCTAGCCTAGGGCTGCATTCCCAACTGTTTCTATGGGAGCATGAACCAAGAGCCTCTCCTAAGGGCCCAGACCCAGAGATCTTGCTGTCGAACACCAACACCCCACACAACACTAGTGTGTCACCAGTGAGGGACTAGCTCCGAATCCACACCGCAGGCACCAGAGAAATTCAGGGCTGCAGAGCCAAGGTTCTGGCACACATCCAGGTTAGGTCTGGAAACAAAGGGTGGCAGATTAGCTCAGTGAAAAGCCTCATCTATTTCTATGCCTTCGGGACAGGACTGTTCCCTAGAAGTCACTGCCCAAGGTCCCACGCAGAAGATACCGAATGGCACAGGGCAGGGCCCTCCAGCAGGAACTGGAAGGGACAGGAGATGGGGACTCCACTTAGGTAGCATTACACGCCCACGAGGCACAGGTAGCACAAGCAGAAGTCACCCCACATGGAGGTCTCCTGCTGCCCAGCAATCTAGCATGGAAGGAGCTATAGATTCATTCAGTCTGAGGCTAGGTCTACACTGGGGGGGGGGGGGTTGGCCCCGACTTCCCTGGCTGTGAGGACAACGGCGAGTCGACCGCTGCCGCTCCGCCGTCGACTCCGCTTCCGCCTCTTGCTGCGGTGGATTTCCGGAGTCGACGGCAGAGCGATCAGGGATCGATTTTATCGCGTCTTCACTAGACACGATAAGTCGATCCCCAATAGATCGATTGCTACCCGCCGATCTGGCGGGTAGTGAAGACGTGCCCTGACCTCCTGTGTACCCCAGGCTGGTACATTTCACCATTTGCCTCTAATGCAGCGGTTACTTTGCAGCAGGACCCCAAAGTCGCGATGGGTTGCCAGGGCCGCCTGGGGCCGGGGCTAAGCCCAAGCCCAGCCCTGGGAAACAGAGGTCAGGTTACAGTCCCCGCCCCAGAGATGAAGCTCTTGGGTCTTTGGCTTTGACCTCCCCACTGGTCCCCCCTCCTGGAGTTGTTTAGTAATTTTTGTGGCGAACCCCTGCTCTAATGAACCAAATCACCTGTGCTATACAGATGCTCCCCGGGTTACCCTGTAAGCTTTTTTTTTTGGCGCGTAATTGTCAGAGACAGGTTCCGACTTACACAAACAAGCCCTTTGGGAACAGAACGCTTGCGTAAGTCGGGAGCTTCTGTACAGAGCTGTGCTGTGCAAACTAGCCAGAGCCGGACAATGAATACTCTCAGGGGAACAGTATCCCCAGGGCCAAACTCCAAGGAACCAGACATCCCCAGCGCTCTCCTTAGAGGCACACACAGCAAGGCTGGCAGAGGCTGGGACTGTGTCACCAGGTTGCTATGGGGCCCTCTAACCACAGCCCTGCAATAACCAGGGGAACCAAACCCTGTTACAATCCCAGTTCAGAGCTTGCATCCTGCTTAACAAGGAATGGGGGGGCGGGGGGTGTCACCCTGCCTCCAGTGTGGGGAACCTGGGTTTCCTATCCCTGGCAACCAGCCAGAAGTCAGGGAATACTCTTGGGATACTGAGATCCCCCTCCCCCACGCTGTGTCTCCAGACAGGGCCTGTGGACAGGCTGATAAAAGGTGGAGGGCTGGCCCCTGGGAGTCAGGAGCCGGTGACACCTGCAGACAGTAGCACAGCAGCACCAGGGGCCTCATGCTGTCAACAGCAGAGAGATGTTTCCATAACGCTTGGGAGACTCCTAGCAAAATCACCACTTCACCCCTCTCTAAGCAACTACTATTCAACTCCAGGGCAAGTGGTCTTTGCCAGGGG